CCATGCGTCTCCTTCCACCTGCTAAGCATTATTTTTCATCTCTGTCTTGGTATATAGTTCCCTGTTTCTCATCAGAGCTTTTGGCTGCACTGCCTTTGCAGAAACCTGTCTTTTAGGGCCTGATCAGCAGGTCTGTGGGGTCCTGCCCTGAGCAAGCAATGGCTGGGGGGGGAATATGTGGCAGCATGAATCAGGACAGCTCTTGAGCTGGAAGCCAAGACAGCATGGCTCCCAGCTTGGAGTCACAGCACCTGTGGGAGACAGCATGCCAGGTCCCTTGGGACAGGGATCCCTGCAGGGCACCAAGGTCCTCACTTCCCCAACACTGTCTGTGCTAAGATGTCACAATTTTCAAGTCAAATCAAGGACCTGTGTGGATTTTAGTCTCCTTTGAGACACTGTCTCTTCAGAAAAAATATCTGTACAAGCTCACCAGTGGAGTCACTCAGTGAAAAGCCACATAAAAATGTCATTATTCTGTCTCCCTATGCAGCAGACTGGTGGAAGACAGTTGCACAAGCTGCAAATGCCTCCAGCTTTCTAACGAAGCTTGTGCTGGAAATCCAATGCTTTTCCTTATTGCAGTGTTCAGGAGAATTTTGCATCCCATCTCTGCAGACAACTTCTGGAGCTGATATAAAAATATCTGGGCAGTCCTTGTAAGAAGGATGTGAAACCACATCTCTCTTCTCCCACTTCTCTTACTGCTGATCAATTGCCACGTAAATTTTCTCCAAATTAGGAGTGCCTCTGTGAAGATCTTCAAAGTAATAAAAACAGTTGAACTCAGACCAAGGCTTTTGAAGACCAACAGGCTTTCAAGCTGATCATAATCCCTTACGAATAAACACTCATAAGCTTTATGCAAATTGTTATGCAAAATTTATTATGCAAAATGCTTAAGGTATGAAGGAAGATTTAAACAATACCCATGGAGTACTGAGTTGCACTCTCACTCCTCCTTCCATCAGCTGAAAATGTTCTGCTTGATGATGTATGGCATCTTAAAAAGATGCTTTATTCAATGCCTGGCATCTTTTCCCAGAGACGCCCGCATGCCCTCCCTGTAAAACAATTATTCTCCAATTTTCTAATGTGTTCAAGTAAAATCTTGGGTCTCAGTTTTGTGGAAAAGCTCAGTATGGAGCTCATTGTGCTGTGGCTGGGGCCAGGGATTATGGGGGTTGGGGTTATCTTTGTTCTCCTCTAACTACCAGCTCATGGGCACAGGACCTGCAGGTCTCTCCACTGAGCAGCAGAGCAAAGCTCCCTGCTGAGTGCCAGTCCAGCTGTTGCTCTCGCCTCTGCATCTGCAGCACACACGTAAATTGTAGTTTCTTCTTTATGTCCTTATCACTATGTTTATATATCTTTCCTGGTGGTATTATCACAGGTCTGAGTGTCCATCAAACTTGGCGTCTCTGAGAAATGTTAGGATGCCTCTCCCCATGACACCCCTGATCCACCAGTGCTCAGTTACAGGTCTCAGCAAATTTGGGCTCCTGAATGTCTGTGTGTCTAGAGGAAGCCTGGGTAACCCTGCACCGTGTTTCATACTGCAGGCACCGCTCTTTCTCTGATGGGGCTGGGGATGGTTCTGCGGGCATGGGCTGCTGGACAAGGTGCACCCTTATCCAGGGTGGGATGCCATCCCCTGAGCCGTCATACTGAGCCGGAACCAGGACATGGGTATATTGAGCTCATGTTATTCATATGGCTCACTCAAGGCAAATGTTGCAGTCATGCCTGTACATATGCATGTCTATGTGTGCGCACAGCAGCAGAGAACAAAACATTTCTGCTGTTTCATTAAGAGATACAGCTAGATGAAGACACATCACATGCCTCACTGGCATCTGGGCTATCGGAGTTTGAATCATTGCATACTTAGTTGTATAACACCTCTTTTTCCACATGCTGTTGTAAAGAGCAAGAATGAAGAGCCTAAAGCATGGCATCCACTCGGTGAATAAAGAACTGTCTGGACGGTCGCACTCAAAGAGTTGCGGTCAACTGCTCGATGTCCAAGTGGAGACCAGTGACGAGTGGCGTTCCTCAGGGGTCGGTAGTGGGACCTGTACTGTTCAACATATTTGTTGGTGACATTGAGTGCACCCTCAGCAAATTTGCTGATGATACCAAGCTGTTTGGCAAGGTAGACATGCTGGAGGGGAGGGGTGCCATCCAGAGGGACTTGGACAGGCTGGAGAGGTGGGCCCAAGCCAACCTCATGAAGTTCAACAAGGCCAAGTGCAAGGTCCTACATCTGGGTCGGGGCAATCCCAAGCACAAATACAGGCTCGGTGGGGAATGGCTGGAGAGCAGCCCTGAGGAGAAGGACCTGGGTGTGCTGATTGACCAGAAGCTCAGCATGAGGCAGCAACGTGCGACCACAGCCCAGAAGTCCAAACTTATCCTGGGCTGCATCAAAAGAAGTGTGGCCAGCAGGTCAAGGGAGGTGATTCTGCCCCTCTACTCCACTCTCGTGAGACCCCACCTGGAGTACTGCATCCAGCTCTGGAGTCCTCAACATAAGAAAGACATAGACCTGCTGGACCATGTCCAGAGGAGAGCCACGAGGATGATCCGAGGGTTGGAGCACCTCTCCT